TCCCATCCCGATCCCATTCCTGTCCCCACTGTCCCCAATGTCCCCCAATGTCCCCGATGTCCCCAATGTCCCCGATGTTGTTCCGCAGTGACACGGAGGCGCAGTGCGAGGTGATGCAGGAGATCGTGGATCAGGTCCTGGAGGTACTGGGGACACCAATGGGGACACCAGTGGGGACACTGGGATTGAGGACACGAATGGGGACGGGGGATTGGGGACAAGGGATTGGGAACACCGGGACTGGGGACACGGGGTTGGGGACACGGGGTTGGGGACAGGGGATTGGGGACATGGGAGTGGGGACATGGGACTGGGGACACTGGGATTGGGAACACGGGACTGGGGACACCGGGATTGGGACCGTTCTGAGCCCGTCCTGGGCCCGTTCTGAGCCCGTCCTGGGCCAGTTCTGAGCCCGTCCTAGGCCGGGTCTATCCTGGGCCCATTCTGAGCCCGTCCTGAGCCCGTCCTGGGCCCATTCTGAGCCCATCCTGGGCCCGTCCTGAGCCCGTCCTGGGCCAGTTCTGAGCCCATCCTAGGCCGGGTCTATCCTGGGCCAGTTCTGAGCCCGTCCCTCCTGTCCCGTCCCTGCAGGAGGATTTTGACTCGGAGCAGCTCTCGGTGCTCGCCTCGTGCCTCCAGGAGCTCTTCAAGGCGCATTTCCGCGGGGAGGTGCTGCCCGAGGAGATCACCGACGAGTAAGGGATGGGAAAAGGGGATTTGCTGTCGGGATTTGGGATTTTCCTGGGAAATGTTCCCTGTTTCTATCCCAGGGAAACATTCCCCATTTCCACCCCAAACGTTCCCATTTCCATCCCAAATATTCCCCGTTTCCACCCCAAACATTCCCCATTTCCATCCCGGGGAAATATTCTCCATTTCCATCCCAAACGTTCCCATTTCCATCCCAAATATTCTCCATTTCCATCCCAAATATTCTCCATTTCCATCCCAAATATTCCCCATTTCCATTTCCATCCCAAACGTTCCCCGTTCCCATTTCCATCCCAAACATTCCCATTTCCATCCCAAACGTTTCCCATTTCCATCCCAAACGTTCCCCATTTCCATCCCAAATATTCCCCATTTCCATCCCAAACATTCCCCATTTCCATCCCAAATATTCTCCATTTCCATCCCAAATATTCCCCGTTTCCATCCCAAATATTCCCCATTTCCATCCCAAATGTTCCCCATTTCCATCCCAAACGTTCCCCATTTCCATCCCAAATGTTCCCCATTTCCATCCCAAACGTTCCCCATTTCCATCCCAAATATTCCCCATTTCCATCCCAAATATTCTCCATTTCCATCCCAGATGTTCCCATTTTGCATCCCAAATATTCTCCATTTCCATCCCAAACGTTCCCCATTTCCATCCCAAACGTTCCCCATTCCCTATTTCCATCCCAAACATTCCCCATTTCCATCCCAAACGTTCCCCATTTTGGGATTGGCCTCCCTGGGTGTTCTCGGAGTGGGGTTTGGGGTCGGGGTCACTGTAGGACCATCCTGTCCCTGTCCTGTCCCTGTCCCCAGATCTCAGTGTCCCCTGTCCCGCAGGTCCCTGGAGGAGTCCGTGGGGAAGCCCCTTTATCTCATATTCCGGTACGTTCCTAAATCCCAAATCCCAAATAACACTGGGATTGTCTGCTCCATCCCCACTCTGTCCCGGTCCTAAATCCCAAAAAACCCGGGAATTCCTCATTTTGTCCCGCTGCTGTTGTGTTGGAAATACAGGAGTTCCTTTGGGGTTTCTATGGGATTTCTATGGGGTTTCTGTGGGGTTTCTGTGCAGTTTCTGCGGGGTTTCTGTGGGATTTCTGTGCAGTTTCTGTGGGGTTTCTATGTGGTTTCTGTGGGATTTCTGTGGGGTTTCTGTCGGGATTTCTGTGGGATTTCTGTGGGGTTCCTATGGGGTTTCTGCAGGGTTTCTGTGGGGTTCCTATGGGATTTCTGTGCAGTTTCTACAGGGTTTCTGTGAGGTTTCTGTAGGGATTTCTGTGGGGTTTCTGCAGGGTTTCTGTGGGGTTTCTGTGGGATTTCTGTGGGGTTTCTTAGGGGTTTCTGTGCAGTTTCTGTGGGATCTCTATGGGATTTCTGCAGGCTTTCTGTGGGGTTTCTGTGGGGTTTCTGCAGGATTTTTGTGGGGTTTCTGTGGAGTTTTGGAGAACGGCACCCGCGTGTCCCCACAGAGAGCCCCGTCCCCATGACCCTGTCCCCCTGTGACATTCCCGTGACATTCCCGTGACATTCCCGTGACATTCCTGTGACATTCCTGTCCCCAGGAACCTGTGCCAGATGCAGGAGGACAACAGTGGTTTCTCTCTGCTGTTGGATTTGCTGTCGGAGCTGTACCAGAAACAGCCCAAGATCGGTTACCACCTGCTCTACTACCTGAGGGCCAGGTGAGCCCTGTGGGGGACCCTGTGGGGACCCCTCCGTGTCACCTGGGTGTGGCACTGTCACCTGGGTGTGGCACTGTCACCTGGGCATGGCACTACAGTGACCCCTCCCTCTCACCTGGGTGTGTCTGTGTCACCTGGGTGTGGCACTGCAGGGACCATCTGTGTCACCTGTGACCGTCTGTGTCACCTGGGCATGTCCATGTCACCTGGGTGTGTCCATCTCACCTGGGCGTGGCACTGCGGGGACCGTCCCTGTCACCTGTGACCGTCCATGTCACCTGGGTGTGGCACTGTCACCTGGGTGTGGCACTGTGGTGACCTCTCCCTCTCACCTGGGCGTGTCCGTGTCACCTGGGTGTGTCCATGTCACCTGGGCGTGGCACTGCGGTGACCGTCCCATGTCACCTGTGACCCTCCATGTCACCTGGGCGTGTCCGTGTCACCTGGGCGTGGCACTGCTGGGACCGTCCGTGTCACCTGGGTGTGTCCCTGTCACCTGGGCGTGTCCATCTCACCTGGGCGTGGCACTGCTGTGACCGTCCCTGTCACCTGTGACCGTCTGTGTCACCTGGGTGTGACATTGCTGGGACCATCTGTGTCACCTGTGACCGTTCGTGTCACCTGGGTGTGTCCATGTCACCTGGGCTCTGCCCCATGTGTGGGTGTGGCACTGCTGTGACCATCCCATGTCACCTGGGCGTGTCCATGTCACCTGGGTGTGGCACTGCTGTGACCCTCCATGTCATCTGTGACCCTTCACTGTGACCCTTCATGTCACCTGGGTGTGTCCCTCTCACCTGGACATTTCCATCTCCCCTGGGCGTGTCCCTCTTGGGCGTGTCCCTCTCCCCTGGGCGTGTCCCTCTCCCCTGGGCGTGTCCCTCTTGGGCGTGTCCCTCTCACCTGGGCGTGTCTTCCTGTGACTCCGCCCTGTCCCCCCTGGTCCCCTCGCTGTCCCCTGGGCCCTGCCTGTCCCCATCCCCTGA